GGAGGAGTTTGAAGGACTGAGGCTGTACCCAATTTTTCCATGGGGCAGTTGGCGGATTTCGAAGGACTGAAGGTGTATCCTCTGAAAGGGGCCTAGGCTGTTACAGTAAATTCATAAAGCGTTTTTTCCTTTCAACAATCCTAATTCATATTAACAATCTCCCAATTCCAAATGAATCCAGGCGTACAATTATTTTTTCATGGGGCAGTTGGCGGATTTCGAAGGACTGAAGGTGTATCCTCTGAAAGGTGGCCTAGGCTGTTACAGTAAATTCATAAAGCGTTTTTTCCTTTCAACAATCCTAATTCATATTAACAATCTCCCAATTCCAAATGAATCCAGGCGTACAATTATTTCCAAGTGACAGTATTTCACACACATTTGTAGTTGTGATGCAACTGGAAATTCTTTGCTTTCCTTATAAATGGCACAAGAGGTTCATCAAATGTTATCTCAATCTCCCTTCAGCCACTAGCCGATATCAGAATCTGACAACTATATGGAATTACAAATTCACCAGATAATCGGCCATATGAAGGGCTGAATTATTCAAACTCTCCTTGATGCTAAGTTAAAAGTCTACACAATAGATCAAACCACTTCAGGGAAATTTTGTCTTGAATCCAGTACCTATTTTTTTTTAAAAAAGGAACACTTCTTCAAACGAATAGACACAAACACTGGAGTTTACTCCACCATGCCCTGCAATGCACCGGTATCATTCACATTCTACGAAATGAGAGGAAGAGATGATGTCACTGACTCCATCTGCCTTTTTCAAGCGTTCAGTCACAGGACACACACTCTCCCCATACTTCCGAGTATTATGAGCTCACCCTAGTGGCCAATCAATAATACAAATCAACGGCGACCACTGCATCTGACTAATTGACTTGACATGGACTCTTCAAGGGAAGACGTGCGGTAGTCCTAAGGAGGGAGTGGCAAACAAGTGTTCCACATATACATGCGAGGGAACTTCTGAGAAGAATTACTCAGTCTTGTCTGAATTCCCTTGTTTTTACCTGCTGACCCCTTTTGATTTTGTCGGCGCGCAATCTGGTGAATAACACAAAGGCTGCTACTGTAAATTCAACGAGTTCAAACAGCTCCAGTGTACCACCAAGGGCATTTCATTTTCTTCACTGATCAGGTCCATGAAAACTCACTGAACCAGCCCAGGGCAAGAAAGCCTTTGAGTCAGAAAAGGAATCTTGGGGTTAGATGAGAACCAAAATATTCCTGAATACAATATTTGAAGTGGGGTAGCAGTTGTGTAAAAAGTGTTCAACGTAAAGGCTCAAAGGTCAAAACCAGGAAATAAATCCAAACAATAGTCCTCACACCAACCAAGCTGTTTATTATGTATTTTTGTCTGTCACACACACCACATTTTGCTATGTGCCTAAAATTATATAGAGTTCCAGTACATTTAATAAGTTACACAATACCTAAGAAAATGGATCCAATTTTGTTGCATTCAAACATTCTTTGAATTTTGAAGGCAACAGACACTTCTGTTTAATTCACCACCAATCTTCAGAGTTTTTCCTTTTTTTGTGGTTGTTTTGTTTCGCTGTGACATTAAATGAAAGCAAGGTCTACTAATGTGTGTCCATGAGGCACAAAATCAGGCCCCTCCACTACGGCAGCCAAGCAAAGGATTTAAACAATGTGTCAAAATGCCCAAAAAAAATCCCCTGATCAATCAAACTACAAGCACACACAAAATGAAACTGCATGTAAACTCTGCCTTGGCTGACAAGGCCTTGGTGAACTCCATTCTGTCATTCTTTCAGTAGAAATTTCAACGACTGAAACTGCCACTTCTTTTTCCTACTCCGGCCAAACAAAGAAATTCCAACACAATGGATCCACTTTCACAGTATGCAAATGATGCACATTCACATACATGTACAGTAAAACTCGGCACTCGACAACCCTGCACCACACTAAACCCAACGCATAAGAAAAAAAAAAAAACCAACGGGACATTTTCACTCTCATTACTGAATCCAGTTTATTCCAGTAGCCACACTAGTCATTCAGTTACACTTCCACTTACTAGATGCTAAAAAGCGTGTACTTTCTGAAAATGCATGTGACCTGAGTGAACCCAACTAATGTTTGCCGTTCAAACCTTTTGTTCAGTTCTGTACTCTGTATTTATCAAAACCTATTTTGCGGACACCAGATTTTTGTCACGTAGAAGTATTGTATTCATGTACAAAGAAAAGGCTTTAATGGTGAGGTAAGCACTACTACTCCGGAAGCAGTCTGGTTGTGGGGGAGAATTCAACACAAGCCAAACAAAAATTCTTTGAAAAGCGGTAGGGAAAAGAAAGACTTAGAACCTAGATTTCCCACCTAGAATTTGTACGTAGTTAATTCACAAGAAGCTGGTGAAAAAAAGGGTGAAATAAATCTGAACCTTTCAATCCTTTTCTGATTGGATTCATCACATATGATTTCAAAGTTCTACTTGCCGTTTTGTAAACAAGCGTGTTATCTGACTACGCAAACATTGAGAGTTTACTGGGATACTGTTTCACTATTCATACAGTTTGTATTAAACACAAAAAACTGTTTAAATACAAGCCTTCTGGTGATGGCCCATGCATTTGACTGAAAACCAACGTCAAGACTGACCAATGGAGTGAATGTTTAATTCCGTGATCCTTCAGTGAATCGAACTGCTCCTAAAGTATCTGAAAACGTATGCTGATGAATCTGACAGAATCAATCTCTGGCCAGCAAAATGAAACAGCAATTGTTCAATATTGGACACTGCTGGATCCAGGATAAGTTTTGAAGAAATTGACAACTGACCGGAAAACTTATTGATCAATAACACCACAAAGAAATGCTTGTTCACAAGGGATCCATTTTGATCAGGTTCCCTTCATTTATTTTATTTAAGATAATCTGTCAAATGGGGTGGTGCCAGACTTTTGAGGATTGCCAGCCTCACTTTCATATTTAAAAAGATGTTTCTGAAAAAATTCTAATAAATCACAAATCTATAATTATTCATTATCGCAAATGAAATTAATCTTTAAGGAAGTTTTATTTTATCCCTTCCATTTTTAATGCCAGGTTCCAAAAATTACAAAAAGTAATAACCTCGCTTTCAACTCAATATGGCCAACTTGTGAATAGGGTCAATAATTCCTTTTGTGCTTACCTCTTTCCCTGTGGGTATATGCTTAGCGAGTTTGACCTTGGCAAAGTTACCCTTGCCAATAGTTTTGATGAGGCGGTATCTCCCGACATGGGGCTGGTCATCAGCCATTCGTGTGCTCCGACTTCTCGACGAGGATGTGTTTGAATCGTCTCCCTAAAGAAAAAAGAGGAACTGGATGAATCCCAAGCATGAGACAACACAATGTTTGGGATGTGGGCAGACAGTGACAGGATATTCGTGTGTAGCGCATAAACTTTGTGCACGTACACTATACCAGTATTGTGCACATAATGTTTACATAGTACCTGTACAAGTTTACTGAATACAACGCATTGTACATGTACATGTACACATAGTACTGTATAGCAGGTGCATGTACTGTAGTTCCCATTTCAAGGTGAGTAATCACTAGACATTTCAATAACAAAGTTATTCTGGAGAATTGTAAATATTCAGAATGGTATTACACATTACTACACATAACCAAAGAGAAAAGAGAAATATAACACTTCGTCTAAACGCAACACTAATATACCGGTATGTACTTTCCAATGAAAAAAAATAAAAAATTCTGTATTTACATGTACATGTACATGTATGAGGAATTTGAAGCAGCGAAACCATGAAAAATGAGTAGTTGTGAACTTGAGGATTTTAAAACTACATGTAATTATAGGAAAGTATTCCAAGCAACCAAATAATAAGACGCTCGAGTACAACTATGAAGAATTGGTATCTGTACCCATGGGCAACTCTTCGACCACCTTGAACCCATTCCAAACTCAGATTATCTGAACTTAAGCCCCTCTTTGTAAGGTTGATTTCCTTCAATAAATGACTCCAATCCCCTCCCTCCCCATACAATTCAAGACAGGTCCTTCCAATTTTGAAGGCTGGCTAACTCAAACACAAGTCCAGAATTACTCCTGTATGTACGTGTAAATTTGTAGTAACAACAACAAACCAGAGTTCATGTCTTTTTTTAACAGATTTCTAGGCTTTTCCACTTTTCTAAAGCTCCCGAGGCCTTTTTCTGGGTTTGCCATGAGAAAAATGTATCAATTGTCAGCAACAGTCAAAGATTTAAAGATCCATATTAAATCACAAGATGATGTCATCATGGTGTCACTGTCATAATGGTATATTCTTTTAACCCCAACAGATTTTATATGTGTGAAGTTTCAAATTAATCTGACTTGGAATAGTGTAAAAAAACTGTAGAAAAAAAATACAGGAAAAAGGAAATAATAACAATAATTTAAAACTCTGCAGATGAGGTCGTCAAAAATCACTTCATCATTGGAATGCACGACATATGCATATTTTATCACCAAGTTTCAAGATGATCGGATGATCTGTTATATGCAAAGCACAAAAATTACTACTTCGATGACACGATCATGACATCCTAAACATTTCCGCCAATGGTGCATATTAAAACCCTCCTTTAGTTTTACAGCACAAATATGCATAAGTGCCCAAGGTCACTCTCTTGCACGTTGGTCCAGTGCACAACATGACACAGCTGTGCTTCTTTGAGGTGCTTACCAAGTGACCCAAAGAGTGACTTCAGCATAGGAGGGTTTTAATGTTGTCTCAAAAAGGTTTGTTATTTAGAAACTTGTTTTGTTCACCAGTATGCCGACACGAAGAATGAAACAAGAAATATATTATAATTCATACAATAAAATGATATCATCGTGATGTCATCTTTATTTTCACCTATAACACACAGAACCTAAGCTGAACACAAATTTACAACTTAATCAGATTTGTACTTTGGAAGATACTGGCCTTCAAGGAATTGTACAATAATGGCTTGTCACATGACTTGTGATGACATTATCATGACGTCAGTATTCATCAAACATCTTCAATCTAAGGTCTTGCATATTACTTGGTTTAAATTTGGATAAGACAGAAGATCAAAAACTGGCTGAAAAGCCACTGACAAAAATCATGTACAGAGTCTGTGGGTTTGGGGGAAAAAATAAGGAAAATTAAAACTTAACAAAAAAAGCACGCTTTTCACCGCTTGAAAATAAAGCCAAAAACAAACAAAACAGCCTTATAATATGTAGCATGTGACACATCACACAACAAGCTGGCATCATTCATGTGCGCAAACTGTCGCACGGATGAATTTTGGCTTGTGAATAATTAATTCTGAGACAGTGATCTCTACCCAAGAACCTTCCAACCTAAGGAACAGTACGGACTGCATGTACAATGAACTTTGTATTGCACATGGCTGGGGGTAACCACCTTACATTTTTCAGCAATTTACTACAATAGGACGGGCTACTGGTATTTACGGAATTTGGAGCTAACCAAGCCAAGCAATTATTAATTGGAGGTAATTAGTTAGTGAATGTACACGTATTACCGTCTGTTTTCACATGTATGAATGTGAATGTAAGTAATGTTAATTCCCCCATTAGGCTGTATTACAAAAATGCCCACTCTCATATTTGTATGCTGGATTTCTGATGCTAACAGAAATGATGGTTGTAACAGCCTCAAATTTTCTGGTACATACATACAGTATCGGTTCATAGGTACCGGCAGTGTCATGTAAACTGAAAATCCAGACTGTGATGTATAAATACACAGCAGTAACCTGGACTTATCTAATGAGATGCAGCTTTGATGATGATGATGAGCAAAGTGAATAACACCACCCATGTTGTTACTGCTCACATGCACAGTACCCGTACAACAAGAGCACAAGACAACATGGTACTGCTCTGGACATGTGCAAGATGTGTGTGGGGGGAAGGGGGGGGTCAGCACACTCTTTCTTAACTTCATTATAAGGGTGTCACAGTCTGAGGGACTGTTGACCTAGCAAGGGGCCACACCAAGTTACGTCTATAGGTCTGCATTTTACCATTGTCATTGATAAAGACAACACTAGTTCAATGATGCAAGTCAGAGTCTTGAATTTGGGCCAGCAACATTTTTACAAGAAGAACGCTATATCTCTGCCAAACTAACTGAGGTACATGTATGTGTATGTGTATTGTTCAATTTTAATACAATAGGCATGTACATACGTGTACATGTACATGTATGCCCATTGTAGTGAAATTGAACAATTGTTCACAACTGCATCCAATTAAGGCCTTGGTGGGATTTTACCCTTACAATGTACCTTGATACATGTATGTCCAACACAAAATCACAAAGTTACATGTACCGGCAGCTGTAAACTGACAAAGAATCTGTCCTAATTTCAACGTAATCATACACCTACATGACCCTCCCCAAAGCCAAGTAGCTTTCAGAGGAAAGGAAAGTAAAAGTACACTTTACTCATACATGATGTAAACATACCAGTACATATCAACGATGAAGCATAATGCCACTCTTAAACTCAGTTGTCAAGGTATATGTAGTGTGCATACCGGCACATACATTCACAAAGGGAACTTTATAAGCAGTTTGTAGTGAAGTCATTAGGGGGATTCTTGATAGGCAAGATATTGGTAATTAGCAAAGAAAAGACAACCTTGCAACTGGGCACCAGATTTCATTTTGAGTTGTACCTAGCAGCCACTTCACTGCATTTCAGCACAATCATTCTTCCCTTGAAAAGTCTTGGACAAGTGTGCCAGTGAAAATAAAGCACCTCTTAACTTAATAATTCGCAGTCTGCACAGAGAAGGGCAGCTGTTTTTAGAATATGACAATTATCCTGGTGCATTCAATTCCAAACAAATACCATCAGGTCATATTTCATGTTGTGCAAGGCATCAGAAAGGTGAAATACGCCACTGTTGTTAGCATAAATGCAAGGAGATTTATGATGTACCACAATATACAAAGGTGCTGTAACAAAAATGTACATCAGGTTGACAGAGTAGTACCTTCATTTATCCCTCTTGGGGGAGGATGCCCATTTTCATGCATCAATTCAAATTAACAATTTTGATCTGCTCTTCCAACAATAATCAGTAATTTAAATACAAACAATGTAAAAAAAATAATAAGATTAAAAATAAGAAACCAGAACCTAAAATCCTTGATGTGCCTAGTGTGTACCATCTGTATGGAAGTGTGGTGCAATGGCCTATAATGCTGGTCGTGGAGTACTCAATATTGCAATCACCTGATTTTTTCTTACAAGGCGAAACCTTTTTTATTCTTGGCATGACACTGAAAATTAATAGCAATAATTGATGCCTCGCTGGGATGTACAAACCTTTTCAACTGCTTGAGGACAAATAGCAAAATAGCACAGCCAAGGGTAAAAAAAAATCCATATCCGACATCAAAGCAGTCAAAAACTGTTGACTATTCTAGTTTGTCATAATTCACAATGGTTAGCTATTAATTACTTCTTGGTAAAATGGGAAATTTGGAACTTTCTACTCACATGACCATGATGCCTCCTATCTTCATGCACTGTGGACAGTACAGGGGTGCGTGATGACATGGCGGGGTTGCTCAACCGTGGCAATATCACAACCTACATGTAGTTTTAATACTCCTAGGCGTCCAGTGTGCAACTGACCGTGGCTAACAATGGAGGGGCCAGCTAGCTGTGAGACCTGCGAATAGAAATGATACGTGGTTATCGAAACAATGACAAACCTGTTACCTGTACCAATCTATCAGTATATAGACAACACTTTAATGTCCTGAACAGAATATCAACTTTTAAAACACTGACCCATCTGCCCAGACTTGAAGCCCCCTCCCCTTCACTAGCAAAGAAGAGAGGTTGGGGAATCATATCATATTGGTATCCAGCCCACCACACAGTTGGTGAGTTTCCACCAAAGCACCATCATTGCTATGCAAAAGCATGGCATCTCTTATTCCCTCGTAACAGGCTGTCCTTTCAAGAACTGTGCTTTTTACAGTGAATATTTTGTATCATCATGCATAAACTACTGGTAAGGTTCCACCCATTAACTGAATCCCACTCCAATGGTAGTCAGGTTAGCGTAGCGGTTCTTTCCTCGCCTTCCACCTCTGCAGTCCAGGTTCGAATCCCAGCCCAGTCTGCATGTGGATGGGATTTTCAGTCCCTACCCAATTCCATGGGTTTTACCCAGAATATTCCTCTGGGGTTTTCCTCCCACCTCTAAAACTGTAACTGCTTCTCATTGTCTCCTCTCCACAGGTTTCTTCAGACTTGCGAGCTACAGTGCCTAGGGCACTTATGAGGAATCCTTGGTGTCATTACCAGAAATGATTGATAATAATAATTACATGTAGTGACTAGTCAAGACCCTGAAGCTCGAGACTGAGACCCAATGGCCAAAAACTAAGACTGAGAACATAGGGTGTGAAGTCAAGACCAAGACCAAGGCCTTAAGGGTGAGACTGAGACACAGTCGCGCTTTAGCACTTGATCAACTCGACGCACGCATGTGGTAAAGTACATGTACACTGTACCTACATGTAAGTACCACAGAGGAATTTCTGTTACTAGAAATGCAGTGACATGTGGGTACCAGATTATTCAATTTTGTTCTTCAGAACCAATAACGTGCTGTCTTGAGACTTTCGAAAGTAAGTTAGATTATATAAACTTATTTGATTTTTTGCTTTTTCCATTATTTTGAAGTCAGACAAATTTACCATAACTTTCAGAGAAAATGTTCTAAAGCAATTCCCCAGATTAGAAATCAGCATGGTTCTGTCTTGCATTCTGGCAGATTTTTAAACACCTGTACATTTAGAATGCCCTTGATGCTATTCATGAGCTATATGTACTCTTACGTGCAGTTGCAGATCAATCCACAAGCTGACCCTCTCATACATGTACATCCATGTGCATGTGCATGGACATGTACACATACCAGGGGTATGTGGCCACCTACTGAAAAAGCTGACAACAGCTGACATGAAGATGACATTTCAAAAGTTCACATGATTTACAATGTACATGCACATATACTTCAGAGCAGGTGTACAAAAAAGCTGAAATTCTGAGTAAAAAACTAAAACAAAGCAAAAAGCTGAAATCAGCTGAAAAGCTGAATCACACCTGATATAAATGTCTTCCTGGCTATAAATGCACTGCCCACGCACTAAATGCCAGAAGGGCTGCGTGGAATATCCGAATACTCGATTGATTATCAAATATTTGAATATTATTTTCAAAATTTGAATATTGGAATCCAAAATTCACAATAAAAGATGGGAGAAATTCCTTTTGTTTCAAATGAGAAAAATTGCACTATGGAGGCTTGTTTCAAGCAGATTCAATTGAAAAGTGACAGAAATCTTACAACAATTCAAGAAGTGAATTATTAAACATTTACATGTAAAAAGAAAGGAAATTTTCAATGGGGCAAGAAGTACTGTTTGTCTCTTAAATCTTGCTAAATCATGGCTGGAGATACTCCTAGATGTGAGAAGCTTTAATAGTAGTGTGCGTTGTTGCAACTGATTTTGTACCGGTACATGGTTTGTTCATCAACAATCTGCTCGACAGTACGACCGAATATTCGATCAAATTGAAGGCCTAATATTCAAAAAGTTAATTATTCAAATTGACTCAGCCCTAAATGCCAGTTCTTAAGTTTATTACTTTCCTTGTGTTTACATGTACACTGGTAGTCAGAGCATTGGAGTGATCAGCTGAACTCCTTGTGCTTTGACCTTCATGGCTCAAACCACTCACTCAAGGGCAAAGCACCAAGCTACCCAGCTGAAGCGTGAGTCATGCCTGAGCTTGACCCTCGGCTGGTTCCCTGCTTGGCGGACAATTGCCTAATGACTTAATGAGCACTGCCTGCATGAATGTGTGCACAGCCAGGACCAGAAACCAGATGGGCTTCGCTTCAGTTTTTCTCACTTCATATATGGGTACATGTACTGTACTTCACCTGAATTTACAGAACAAATAGAAGTTGTGTAAACTCAAAACCACTAGGTGAAATGAAAATTTGTACTTGTCGAGGAAAAAACAGAATTTTGGCTACTGGTACATGCATGTACAGTGATTATACACAAGTAAATGTGGCCTTGTCAGAAACTGACAGATTGCTGTAACAACCTCTGTTACAATAAGCCACTTGGCTACATTCAATACTTGTTAACATAATAAAGCTCCTCTTTCTATAGCCTAGTTGTGGTGAAGTAGAAACAGAACACTTGACAGCACAGAAAATCTGGCAGAACTGTCAACAAAATAATTCACAACTTGTGGAATCACGCTGTACATAATGGAACCCAAAATTAAAATTCGAGTAAAAATTCGATAACTCAAAGATCGGAGGAATGGATAAAACATTGGAGATATCCACGTTTGAAGCTAACAAAAGATGCCGAGTACCATACTGTCATAAGTATACATGTACCTCCACAAATGGTGCAAATTGTACTCTGCAATGGCTAATGGAAACTTCATTGTGGCTATTTTTCTTTTCATTTTTTCCAACTGTGCATGCTTTTGCTCAAAAATCATTATTTTCATAAGATTTTGTTGTTTTACCCAAAAGTTGTTATTCTTCTGATGAATAATCAATAACCCATTTAATTGTGTACCTTTGTACGGTTTGTTATGTTGAAAGATTTGTTATGTTGTTTGGTAGATAACGCTATAGCACAATGTCCCATGCATGTTCCATGTTTTCACACTGGTTTTCCTGTATTTGATCACATGACCTTTCTTTCTGCAGTAGAGTCAATGATTGGATTGCTAGTGTGCAATCTACATGTACGTACAATTCACGCTTAGCATGCAGCCGCCATAGGCATGCAGAGCTACGAACTGGCAGCTACTGTGTCAGAATCACTTTGTCCAATCACATGGTATAAGAACTAACGCAGCATACATGTACATGTGCAAAATTACATAAGCAACCTACATGGGAATCAGTGAACCAGCTCTATTTATTGTGCAAGGCTGCCAGATTGAGGTTCTGCATGCCTATGGCAGCAGCGTGCAATAAGCAAACTGGCCCCTAGCTACTACCATAGGTAGCAAGTAGACTAGCTCAGCAGTCAGGATTTTTTGTGATGGGTTATGAGTCAATGATTGGACTGCCAGTGTGCGATCTACAATTGGGCAATCAGGCCAATAGCCAGGATTTGTTGCAACTGGTCACGGATATGTAAAAGACGATCACAAAAGCAGCGTACATGTATGCATACAAGCTTCCTAGCATGAAATGATGAAGTGCACTCAGCAGTCTCATGTTAAAGTCTCATGTTAAAGTCTCATGTTAAAGTCTCATGTCAAAGTCTCATGTTAAAGTCTCATGTTAAAGTCTCATGTTAAAGTCTCATGTTCTTTTTACCCTTTTTGAAACCGTTACGGCAGTGTTGTTTTTTTTAGATTGGCCACATAAAAACTTTGAGGTAAGCAGATGTACTGTACATGTAGATGTACACGTAGCAGGGCTGGCATTTTGAGTTAGAGAGGTATTTATGCATACCCCCCTTATCTTTTTGGTGAGAATGATTTTCCAACTTTGTGCTATGGAGATTTAAATGTATATTGAAATCAGAATTGTCTCTGTTAATGCCTACAGTTTGGTTAACAGAGTTTTACTACCAGTATGACAACCTGTCCATACGTACATGTATACTACCGGAATATACTGCTAAATTTCAATTACTACATGTCAAGAACCATTTGTACGACTGGTACTGCTGCAGGATGACAAAGCCTCAACTGATCTGTATACACATGGGTAAAATCAGCAGCACACAAAACGACACGCCATGAAACAAGAGACAGCACCACACCATACTGCCTTTGAGACCCAAATATTAATGGCATGCAAGAGCAGTATGCACTGGTATGTTTATGTCTGCTGCATACATGTACTCTGCATGTTGTGCAGTTCATGACCCGGGGCTGGGGAGTCAGGTTGGCGAAGAAGTTCTTCCCTTCACCTTCACCTCTGCAGCCCAGGTTCGATTCCCGGCTCAGTCCACATGTGGATTGGGTTTTCAGTCCCTACCTGATTCTGTGAGTTTTACCCAGACATTTCCACTCTGGGGTTTTCCTCCAACCTCTAAACCTGTAAATGCCTCTTACTGTCTCCTCTCTACAGATGTGGGTAAATGTGGGTTGTTGGTGACTGCATGAGGCGCCCCTGTATGCCATTGGCTGGACCACATTTCTACATTTCTTCATTGTACAATGCATTTGAACATAAGTTTGAAATTTAAGCTTTACAAATGAATAAGTTATTATTATCAACCATCACATGGCACCTACGCCAATTTTTTAACAGAAGTTTCAAGTTTCTTGTGGCAAGCTAAAGACTGCTACATGTACACGGAAGGGTTTGTTTCATTTGCATAATGAGACGTTTTCAATGACATGTACATGTACTGGAGACCTGAAAGAAAAAAAAGACTTCCAACTTATTTCCTTCGAGCATGGGCCCTCATCTAACTTGGAGCACTGCTATGCACTTCCTTAGAATATAACAATGCTAAAATAATTGCAACAGGTTATCTTGGCACCATGTGTGTTGACATGTTACATAATTATAATAACAATGTGAAAAATGCATACGTGTAGTCGTACATGCGCATGTATTAAGGGACAGATACATGTACACGTGTATAAAAGTTTGACAGTATTATGCGGGTTGTACATGTATATGTATACTTACTGGAAGTTAATTTGATTACTCTGTTGATTAATTCCGTTGAGTGATTCTTGACTTCACTGTGATGTGTACATGTATACCGCTTTGTGAGAGTATGAGATTGTCTGCATACACAATAGTCACCATAAAATATAATCTAAGATGTTATTTCAGTGGCTCCCATTGCCTCCATGCCCCAGTTCTCCAACTCCATCCAAAAGTGAAAGCATCAAGAATATGCACACTTTCCTGTTCATTGTGATTCCGAAGCAAGCACAATAAGTCATTTGACAGCATGTGCAATCCATTAGGTCACGACCTTTCACATCTGCAGGTGACAGCACCTCTTTATACAGAGTATTTACATTGTATGTTGGCTTGCTTGTTTGTGTTATGTCACATGTATGTATGCCATCTAAAATCTACATTCAAACATTTTTAACCCTGACCCCCTCAGCCTTTTTTCTAGGAACCATCCTGAATCCTCTGAAATCCTCAGATTTTCAACATGAAAAATTACATTCGGCCCAAATCCTCCAAAATCCTCGAAAATATCATTTGAAGGTGTATTTAACTGTCCAAATCCTTCAAAATCGCCTGACAATTCCTGTCATTTTGAGGCAGTGTAAATGGCACTCTTGAGCTGTGCAGTTGATTCAAAAGAAATATTGGGCTGAATTTGTGCTTGACTGGGGACAAATAACACAAGGTCTAATCCATGACCCTCACGTATGGCATCCTTCAAAATCAGCCATGCACTTTTGCCATACACCCTGAATCCTCCAAATTCCTCCACTTTGCAAAAACAGATTTGGGAGGATTTGGGAGGGTTAGAGTTAAATTAATTTATTTTGCATTGATTACAATGGCATGGCAAATGCATGAATAAAGTATTATTAAAAACTTCACAGACTTCAGTGCTGATCACAACATCATTAGAGTGACACATCATGAGAAATTACCCAATGGCGCTATCCAAAATCGTACATACCGGTATATGAAACATGGAGCATGCGCATAATACCGAAATCTGTTACCATTACCAAAATGTGAGTAAGATTCTCTCATATTGTCAGTATAATCTCAAAAGATTCAGAACAAGATTCTTCAGCTTTTAAATAAAAAAAAAATCAAAAAGCAAACAAGTACCGCTATATACATGTACTTGCATGTGTCAGCCATGAAAAATTAATTTATGAAAATAATGTTATGAAAAAGTTGGACTATTTTCTAACGCACAAATTAACCAATACTCAAGTACTACAGTTTGTCCAAGCTTATAGTAACCTATGGTCAGCACACTCAAGGCAGATTGGACAAAGATATGACCATTTCACTAATCTGCGTTATTAAAATAGTTGAAAGGCAGGGCTTACCCTATGTTCCACACACAGCTACAAACTGGCATGATAGCATCAAACATGCAGTCAACTATCCAAGTAAACTGGCCCTTACAAATTGATTTTCTAACAATGGACGTTCAGACAGGACCTGTTGCCCGTACATGTTCATTTTTCATAGTAGCCAACAGAAATGCCATTTAGGGAATTTTGCTGGTTTTACTTGCTGATTTTCTAGTAGGCCACAAAAGTAATTCACATGTACCAAAACGTTTGCAAGTTTTGTCATGTCTGAAGAAAGGCTAGTTCAATTACTTTGTGTCAAATGATCTTATGCTAGAAAACTGCTTGCAGAACAATTAGGGTTTCTGACACAGGTTTATTGATGTGGCAGATGTACAAATGTTATTTCTGTATCACACTAATTGACAACATATTGCACTGTACATGTACCAGTACATCACTGTATTAAAGTCAAAACTGGTGTCACAGACAAATTAACAATACAAAGTTGTATTCCCGTTAGCACTCACTGCAAGAAGCAACTGGAAAACAATTTGTTAGGCTGTAAAAGCAGGGTGCTGTTCAAGTGGCATTCTGTCATGACAGAAGTCCACAGATGCTGTTTTAGTGGACATGACTTTCTCATTACATTCTGCAGACTTAAAATACCAGTCTGTGATGTACAATCATATTTTCGAGGTGTGCGGTACACATGTTGTGCAAGCACTGAATGCAGAAAATTTATCATTTTGACTTTACATCAACACCATCAGCACACAGATGTATTTGTTGGCTTTAAACCTAGTATTTTTCAACACTGGCCCAGCTACATGTACATGAGTACTACCATGTACCAGGCCTACTAGGATACTTACTGTTGATGGCAGATCTGCCGGTCAAACTTTTCCACTTGCGTTGGACCAGCAGATGGCATTAATTTCAACACCTGACACAATGGATGTGATGCTCAAATGTTAAACTTTAAAGAAGGCAATATCAGACAATTTTCAGCAATTAATTTGGGACATTTTAAGCATGTTAGGGATCCAAGTTCGTTAGTTATGATTACCAACTGGCCAACTAATATATCCAGAAGAAAAGTCTCCTGGTGACTTCATTTTCATTTCCACTCCGAAGGCTTGGTAATAGGCCTAACTGTGGAAAGAGTTCCATGTACGGACACCACTTGACACCCTGTGCACAAACCCTTGAGACTGATTTGAAAAATTTTAAGTGTTTTCTATGCAAACGACTTGATTTTGTCCCTCCTAAATTGAACTTTTTTTGACTTGTTTTGCCTTCTGAATAGGTCACTTTAGGGAATAATTACTGGCATCTGTAATATGGAACTCTTCCCCCGACGGTTAAATAAAATTGGTAGTAGGCCCTAGGCCTACTTGTATAGGCCCTAAAACTAGCTGCTACGTGTAGCCTACCATGGCCTAGACCAAAGATTGTATAGCGCCGAAGACACAAGATGGATAACTCTGCCCAAAAGGTGTAAATACCATGGGCACCATTTGAGCAAATGATACGCCTCCATGGTTCACGGTAATGCTTAGGCCCACCAGGTGCACGTGGCTGCCGCGGCGCCTACACCTGTGCATCAATGTGCATTACGCAGGCGTATCGATTGCTCAAAAGCAGCCGCACTAGTGTGGCATGGACTCTCGCTACCACTCCATCCGTAGCCACACATCCGTATATGCAATTTTGCATGTCGGCGTAGTGAAAAAGTTCGGCGCACCCTCTTATAATTGTAGGTGCAATTGCCTCTCTGCTTTCTTAGCGCCATTTATTGAATGATTTCACTCACGTGGTTCTGGTGTTTTTCAGTCTTTTTGGCTTCACACATTCAATCTCATGGGCTTGCTCTCACAGTCGCCATCTTTAAAATAAGGTCATTGAACATTATGTCACTTGACCCCTGATCATCTTGGCGGCTGTTCCATGTCAAGACATCTAAACTGCTGCCCAAGTTTTGGAAGAGCCCATTGGTACATGCAGTAGCTTATTGCTCAGTCTGTGTATTATTAGATATGTTCACGGTGAAGTTCTCCATGTTGCGCTGCTATGCGGCGCTATATGATCTTTGGCCTAGACTAAGTTGCAGCAACTTTTCTAGGCATAGGCTAGGCCTGCTTGTGCCATCATGATCATATCTGATGATCCCACCTCATCCAGATTCAATGGTGAATCTATTTATGTTTAAAACCCCCTGAATACCTAAAATGGAAAAAGTTACATGAGCGACACTGACATGACCATACATGTTGCGACTTCTTCATGACCAAGCCCAGGCAACACAACTAAACACAGAATGCAAGTACATTATATAGGCCTGCGTGATCAAGCAAGTTACAACGTTAACAAATGGGAAAATTGAAACATCGTTTGACGTGCCAAATAGAATACTCACACAGCGGCAACACACCAAGACTTTGCGGTGAAAATCACCAGCGCCACTCCTGTAAAATCCCTGTTTCGGTGCACTAAGTCTGCTTTGAGGTACATGTCCTAATTTTCCCACAAATCCAGCCAAGAACCGCGATACATTCCCAGCGCCATGGATCCTGAAAATCAATATGGCCGACCATTCAACGAATATGCGCCGAAGTCCGGCCGAGTCAGTACCGAACGGGACTCGTTTCTTCGGATCAATGCCGAAGAGGCCTCGGCATCCCGACGCATTATGAGCACCCACCCGATGAGTCTTTCAGTGAATGACATCATCGGCCCATTGAAAATACAAAAACAGCTGGTATGGTTATCTCTTCCCATAATTATCTGTGATGTCAAAGGGGAATCCCTTATCCAGAACCAACCAAGTGTGGCCTACATTCGTGTCTACATTCACTTGCACCTGTTCCAAACAAATTATTGTTAGGAGAGCGAATAGAAGGGGACTCCATGATTATATTGCAGGCTCGAGTCACGACGGGTAGGCTTCTTCGGTATTTTATTATCCGTTTACAGTTTTTAATGAATAACAGCTGAATTATTCATTGATTAGGCGATGTAAACTAAACCTCTCCATGGGACTATCCATCAACCCTTTCTTTAGTACAAATGTAAAAATCGCACTTACACGTAAACGTAATACCAGGAATATTTCCGACTTCCACATTTTTAACAATGTTCTTATTCCTTCATGAAAAACACTCACTCATTTTTTTTTGTTTTTGTAATGATTAAAAATAAATTCAGCCATCGAAAACACTGTTAAATGTGTTTACCCAACACTAATCACACTGGGACAATTATCTCGGGCAAAGTACCCCCCCCCCAACTTTCCAATGAGCTTAGGACCCCGATCAGGTGTTCGAATTAAGCTCATTTCGCGTGTGCAAACATTTTGTGCTTACAAGGTGTGAAAGCGCTTACTGGTGGCGCTATTTGAAATTGCAGTACCTATTTTACACATGGTTAATGTGTAGCGGACCGTTTGCATATGAAATGTGTTAGCACCAAAGGTATCACTGTTCGTCCAACCTCCTGTTAATCCTATGTACTAAAAACTATCAGTTCAAGAGTTTCTTACCTACTTGTTGTAAACAATACAAAATGCTTAATAAACACTGGTAATAAGAATAACTATGCTCCTGTCAGTTTTGGACAAGATTTCCTCACAGACAGACATGCAGAATACCTTGTCGATGACATTATGCGACGACCATAGCGCCACCAACGCAGGTAGGATTCCTGATGTTCCCAAAGAAAAAAATTCCATGTTTCAACAGTACAAGCTTCTTTACAAAATAGCGTGAATCGAAGGGTTTGACCATTTAGGTTGAACAACAACAAAAATATTTTTAAAAACCTGGCTACAAAGAATAGGTGAGATATCAGTGAATAGGCCTACGGGCGATTCACCAAGAGTTTGCAACGTGTTGACCAATCACAATGTGCGAAATCTGTCGACCCTTTCCAAAAGCGCATTGGGTCGACAATTTTCGCGCATTCTAATTGGTCAACAAGTTGCAAACTCTTGGAGGCGCACTATTGTGGAAAGCACGGTATTTAGAAATATTTTGTTGCAGTATTCATTGCGTACCGTCTATTTTTATCATTCCGACCTTGTATTTATGACCTAGTTTCACCGTCCTGCCATTGCATTTGTTATCCATTTGCCATCCCCGTTTGCTCCTGTAACCGTCCCAATTTTACTCTTACAGTTATCACACCCGGCGATTCTGCTTACTCACACCCCACTCGCTAATCCCATTTTCTTGGAAATGATTTCCATTTTTTTCTTGTAAGCTTCAATATTTTACATGAATTTTTCCAGATCCACAGTGCAGCACTAGCTTGATTTCAGTATACAGTAAGATGGATATTAGTTATGTATAATGCTTTACTGGTACACATGCGCACAAAATACATTGCCGTTGATTGTCATTCAATCCAATGATGCAATACAAATGTCAAATAGTTAAGTTATTCCAGCAGTGTAATAGCGATAGGGGCAGGGGCCAGGGGATGGGGTCGAACGCCCCCTTTTGTTCTCCAAATAAATAAATAATAAAAAGAAAAAGAGGGAGGGAGGGAGGGAGGGAGGGAGGGAGAAGAAAAAAAGGAGGAGTCATTCTGCCTGAAATTTACAATTTTTTTTCAGGGCGATTTACCATAGTGCGCCTCCAAGAGTTTGCAAGGCATTGGCCAATCACGATGTGCGAAATCTGTCGACTCAATTCGCGTTTGGAAAGGGCCGACAGATTTCGGTCATTGTGATTGGCAAACGCGTGAGAAACTCTTGGAGGCGCACTAGTGTGAATCGCCCGTGTTGCACATTATTTGCATTGCACTATAGAGCGCCCAGAATACAAAAATTTTACCATTGCTGCTTTAGTTCAACCCCCACTCCTTTTGGAAATCCGGGATCACCCCCTCCCCGCCTACAAGAAAATCCTGGATCCGCCCCTGGGGGGGGGCGCGAGAACACCCCTTCCCCTCGATGCTAGTCACCCTTGAAATTACAGTGTATTTGTTTAATTAACAACCGGACCAAATCTGTTGATTTTCTTCGTTCTGAAAATAGGGCTATGTACCCCGTGTCAAATTGACCCTAGTGAGGATAAAGGTACGGTTAACCCCAACTGAAGATATCAAATACGGCATGTGTGATGCAAATTAATGATAATCGGCGTACGTTACCAGGGAGAACCTGTGTCAACATAAATCCGACGTGTGTGCACCTTTATTTGGATTATAATGTTATCATACCTCGAACTTCCTCTTGCTCTGTGTTCTCAGCCGCTGTAACAAGCATTACTGAAGGAATGGTCGTGAAGATTTCAAACGGCTTCGGTTGGCCTTAGCATTTTAACATATTTATGAATGCTTGCAGGAATGAAACCCAAAGCAATCGATGGACGCCGTGTTACTTTGCCAATACAGTATTCCGAAAGGCATAAAAAAGACAACATATGCAGAAAACTACAAATTTACTTTCAAATCATATTAAGTTATGATGAATATTATCACTGCAACAGCCTCAGTGGTTGTAAGATTTGATAGCGAAATAATCTTTTCAGTTATAACAATGCAATAAAAGTGCATGTCTGTCGATCGACAAAGTCAACAACTTGAGCAAAACGACAAAAAGTAACTGTTTATTGTTTACCAACTGTAGCGACCTAAATCATAGTCTTTTCTAGGCATTTCTACGCTGGCATAATCTTTCCCAGAGTCTAACATTGGCAGTAACTGCCCTTTCCTCCAATGGCAGCACTTAGCTCGAGGTTTACCTTCAAGGAAAACTGTAATCTATTTTGATTACAGGTGAGAGAAAATGATACGCAACAACTGATTTATGACAGTTAAATTTCTATCATCTAAGCAGGAAGTCAGAATTCCAAAAGTCATTTTGTTATTGCTCATGTCTCATTACTGGTGTTCAATTGAAGGTCAGCCGCGACACATACATGCATGATCAAAAACAAATTCCAACCGACGCCATCCGAGCACACATTTTGATGCCGTAACCTAATTTTTTCCCAATCCTAATCGCTCAACTTTAATCATTATAAAACTGGTAACTGTTAAAACTTAACTTCATAAATGAGTGTCCCGTGTCCCACACACCTGAAACGATCACAGTTTGTCTGCCATAAATCAAGATGGTCAATTTCAGCACTGGTGCAGTATGAACTTCAGCCTTCCATGAGGTATTGATCCAGTTGGCATGCCTCATTTGCCAGAACAGTCCAGGCAAACGTGAAGGATAGAATCGACATAAGGAAAAATAGACCAGATTTCGCGGGAGTCTCAATTCCATACGACACCTGTTAAAAGCTGGGACCACGACATCGATGTCGGTCTGCCTTCTCGTGGTCATTATGCTCTGGGTCTGATACACTCCTTCTGCCATGTACAAAGCCTTAATTGGCGACTTCGTTTTTTATCTTCACGCGCGGAAGTTAATTATAAAATTATCATTTTGTGAAGTAGGAGCATACGATTCTCTTTCATGGCACAGAACGCATCAACACGTGGACTTTAATTCAAAATCGTTATGTCTTGACTAATTGAAGCCACAGCACATTTGTAGTTTCTTTCCTGCAGGTCTGTGCCACTGTCCCTTATGCACTGCTTTGAACGCGCTTTTTTTCTCCGACGCAAACCTAGGCCGTCTCTGTGACCCCGAGTATGCCTCAGCACCATCCCCACCCGCTGATGTCGCGACGTAGCCCTTTGTGTCGTTTCCGTCATCACCACGTACAGCCGGTAAAACTGGAGTATCAGAAGGAGTGCGTTCTTGCAAGTGAAGAAGACGAGTGACTGGTCCTGTAGGCTGAGAGCGAAAAGGAGGTAGAGCCTCATGATCAGGTAGGGTCCGTCTTGCAGGATCACGTCCGTCATGAGGGCCCAGAGGGCTGTGCCACAGAAGATGGTAGAGATGTTGCGGAGGTGCCTGGTCCAGCGGTCCGTTTCCTCCCCGGTCATGATGAGGGTGCGCCGACGCCTCTTGGTAGACGTCAGGCCAAGCGTGAACTGGAGGAGGGACCAACTCCACACGGCCAGGATTGGCACATAGATGGACCGGTTGCAGGCGATCTTCTCCAGCTTGAGCGTCTCGGATGAGAACTCTAGCATGTCGGCGGCCATGCCGATGTAGACCAGCAGGAGTTGAGATAGCTCGTCCCGCGTCAGCCCGCCCTTTGGAAGCAGCCATCTTCCTAAAATAAGGATGAGCATCAGGGTTTGCTGGTAGATGGTCGATATGGACAGCTTCATACTGTAGGTAATCTGTATGCAGGAGAAACAGCGACAGAAGTTCTCTCTCAAAAATACGACACAACAGCCAGCAGAATATTCCTTAAAATGAAACAAACAATGGGAACCAAGGTGTATTGTCTTGATACTTGTTTACAGAGGCATTGCTATGCGACGGTTCGGAAATTCGTTCAGAAAAGGTAGACTGTTTGATATTTCCAAATTGTCTTTGTGATATTTATGATGAAACAATTTGCAGGCTCAAAAGTTGCATCTGTGTGTTTTTGTTGGGGTTGTTCTTCTTCTTACCTGAACTTTGAAAACACACCACAAATCTGTGCCATTTTTTGTTTCAAACATCTTGGGATGTAGAAGTTCATTGTACATGTAATGGCTTTTAAAAACAGGCCATTGCGCTTAAATATCTCTTACAATTTTTTTGACAATCGTAATCGCACGAACACAAGTCTGGCCTTAAAGCATTTTCACATCAAAGATGAAAGTTTAGTCATGAAGTTACATGCATGCGTATACCTTTTCATTGTCGGGGAGAGCAAGATCGGTGAAGTTACACAGACTCATGAGCTTTTTATTGCTGTCGAGCTCCAAAGTCGGCATGACTATACACGTGGTCAGGTTCAGCCTTTTCTGCAGCTCTATACGGAAGTCTAGCAGAGAGATTTCCAGGATCCAGACCACAGGTAACACGGTGGCAAGGTAGATCAGAACAAGCGGGAAAAACCTGTCACAATGACATTCGGTAATGCAATTTTATGGGAAGTACAATAAGTCGTCCCGGTGATTCGGTCTCAATAAAATGTTGTGGATTACTAAATAATAATTAATATTAATACATATATACTGAATAAAATATGTGCCTTATTTTTTGTGGGTGTGAGAGGGACGGATTATGAAACTCAGCTCTCCAAAATAGACCTAACCACAATAACACACGTCACCAGCCAAGCATGCTGCTTGAACCACAAAATCCTGTGTGTCATATTAGTACAATGTTGTGATAGATGTAGATGAACTTACCCCATGCGCCACAAACAAAAATGTTTGGACCATGTTCGTGATAGTCGTCTTAACTTGAAGAATTATAATCAAGTTTGATTTGGTTCTCAATGAAAAAGCTTGTGAAAGAGGTTCACAATAAGAAGATGAGAGAAAAAAAGCCTACTTTTTGGAATCATTTTTGTTTTCTTTCAAGATTCAGCATTTTTACGTAAAATCTAAGAGATGGTTGATTTTGTAAGACGTTCCGCACATGTCGTGGAAAAATCACAAAAAGTTGCTTTTTTCTTATGCAAAACATCAATTTGACCAACTACAGCATGGATCAGATATCTTCCAAGAACGGCATTGGGTACAATTAGGCCCTCGTGAAAGTATCGATCTTAACACATCCAAGCAGATCGCGCGTGTCCTGACCACCCCCCCCCCACGGAACATACCACTTCCACTCGCCGTCTTCTTTGAAGCTGAAAGTGACGTACATCTCTATCATGTAGACCAAGACCAAGATGGAGATGAACCAATAGAGACTGTTCTGCTCCAGGTAAACCGTGAGAAAGATGCCCGTCGCCCCGTGCACCAAGTAGCAAAAACGTACCACCGACGCTCGCAATGCTTTCTTTAGCTGCATGTTGCTGTTCATGTGCTCATTTCAGTCTGGATCCTATTAGAAAGACATTTTGTGCCTGTGTTGCATAATTTTGTCTCAGCTTTATGGAGTTTTATTGCACTTATATTTTCTACAGTTCGTGCTGAGTGAAGCATATAGAAACATCGATATCTCACTTTAGAGAAACACCTTGCTGTTTTCCTCGATGAGATAGGTGTCTCCTCTTGTAAAAAGATGAGTGACCCGATTGGATCTTGATGGCAAGAAGCCCGACGAATGCTCTGTGCAGTCAGTATCGGCCGTGTACACAACTCCGCCACAAAAGTCTACAGCGTGCTTCCTGACCCCACGCTACTCGAGCACCTGAAGTTAATCGCATCATGATGTGTAACCGGAGAAACGGACATTAAAATTCAAGTGAATGTATACAAGCGTGGATAATGAGTCAATTATGCACTATCGTATTCACATAAAAGAATGACGTTCTCGCCGCGAAATGCTCAGATTAAAATTGCAGGATGCCTTTACGGTGCAGTGTAACAGTGGAAAAGGGAATCAGAACCCAATTTTCGGGGGAAGGGGGAAATTGGAGATTTCTTTATGTAACACTTTTTTGGTTTAGGGAAGGAGGCGAAATGAACCCCCCTCGCCCAAAAAGTCGCCTTTTCTCTCATTCATCAACCCCCCCCCCAAAAAAAACGTTGCCTTTTTATGGGGAGGGGGTGGTGGCTCATGGATTCTACTTTTAAAATCGCCAAATGTTACCAACATAACCAACGTGTGACGACCTTTATTACACAGTAGAAACGGAAGGTGACATCATCTCGCTGTGAATATATTTGAAATCGTTCCATGAAAATGCACTTTAACGCTCGGGTAGATTTTAATAATTTCACGATAGCCTCAGTGTATTTCACAGTGCAAATAGCTTTTAGCATAATTAATTTATCCACAGAGTAATTGCCACAGGAGTGGAGTGCATTCAAACCGAATATTCGCTGTCGCTGGTTGCTTGAAAACCGTAAAATAAAATGCACAACAGTCCGACTGGAGTCATAATTAGCCTGTAGGAAATTTCGTTACCATGCATTAAATGGTGAGTCGAACATCAAGACTTCACGTTCTCATATGATACAAGGCTTGAAATTACAGACATTTAGAATTTTGTCCCGGTCTTTTGGGGTATTGGAGAGCCTTTTAGGGATGAGAAAATTCAACAGCCCTTTCAAAAAAATAATTAAAAATATCTCTTTCTCCCAGACTAAAATCGAATGCACTTGTACGCGATATTATACCTTCTGCTCAATTATGTACCCAGGTTTTGAGTCCACAGTGGGCAAAAGGGGGATTTTTTTAATCCGTGAAAGAGATCCTCACTCCATTAAATTGAGTTGGAAGCAGATTGTCTCTGAAGTGTTAATACTTTCAATTCCTTAAAAAATTGAAAACATGTCTCCGGGGGCCACTTCCCTCCTCTGCCCCCTGCATGAACTGCTTCCACCTTAAATGTCTGTCCCTAGTGTTCCTTGATAAATTCGTGGTTCGCCTGAAAATATCCATAACCGTCCATTTCTATTTTTTTTAATTCAGTTCTCAAAATGTTTTCATGTGAAGTGTGTTGCCTAACGCGTAACCGAGTTTTGTTTTTCTGCCTGTTGACAGTTTCATCTTTGCGATTTTGCTTTTTATCAGGAACCAGGTTCAACTTTTAAAGTCGTCATCCCATCACAGTCTTTCACTCTGCCCCCCTCTCTTGCGAATCTGGCAAAATATAGGCAATCGTTGCAGTGGCATCGCAAAATGCAAAACCCATCAAGAAGATAAAAGTGTACAATTCTGCTCTGATCTATGAACTATTTTTTTGTCGTCACATTACCGCAAGTAGGTCTTTTATGATAAAATGGGACAGTACTCTTGAATCAGATGCAGCGGATTCCTCCGTAGTAATTATCCAAAAGTAAAACTGAGGTTTTTCAGCCCTGCATCCCAATGCACTTTTTCCTTAAAAGGGGGAACGGTGATGGCTATAGTGAAGCATTATCAAGTGTTGTTGAAGTTTTATGAGTCATTCAATTTCATTAACCCATCCATTCAAACTTAAACATGTAACATAAAAGTTGTACAACTTCTGACTAATTTCTATGCTATATAGGAAGTCGTATCTGAATTAATGTGTAATATTCAATTTTGAATGTTAAATTACACGACGGGTGAAAAATAACCACAGTGTTCCATTAATAGCACGACAACACAAGTGTCTTAAAAAACAAACTATAGGCCTATATATAATTTCCCCATACACTAAAATCTCCAAATGAATTCACACTCTTTTGGCTGAAATGGAGTTAGCCAGTGGCTCGCTTCTGTATCGCACGCCTCGCATGGCCCCATAAAATCCTTGAGAGGCAGCCATCCACTGGCAGTACGCCGCGCGACAGGGGCGCGAAAGGTCTTGGGCGTTGCGCAGCGTCCATCCTCCGCCGTGAGTCACGGCGTTTGTTCAGCTGCATCTTGGCGCCAACGCCCAATGCCAACTTTCCCCGATAATTTTTTTTAGAGTGACTGTAGTGCTTGCAGGCACGAAGGAACTCACAGTGTATCTACGGCCATATGAAAACTGCATCTACCTTTTGTACAAATTTAGAATCATTTATATATTTCATTATTTCGCTTGTGCACAAACAGTCATTTTTGATATCCAAATCAGGGGCAATAAGACCGATAAATAAAATGTGTTGCAATGGTTTAAAAAAATTAACTAAATTTGTTGAATTGTGTACTCTGAAATAACTATCTTTTATAAAAAAAAAACACTAATTTGTTGTTAACCTCGGTTGTTTCAGGACGACTCAAGTAATATTTGACAAACACGCACCCTCGATCAAAATCAGACCTTTTATGACTAGGTCTATGGCAAATAAAAATAAACAGCTGAGAATGTGGGGCAACTACATTTTTTTTATGATGAGCGTTGTTGCACAAATCTCCATTCTATTAAGAAAACGTCAAGCAACACAGTCATATGCAAGCAGCCCATAATGAATTTCACACCTCGGTGATCGATCACCACGAGGCGAATATTGATAGCTGGGCCAGCCGTGATGTGGTGTCAGATTCTCCGCTGCTTCCTTCGAGTGAAGACTAGTTGCCGTACACAGAAAGCGCTGAAGTCACTCTCTGTGCAAAACGCACTCCTTAGATCATCCATCATTTTGAGCCACTGACGGTAAGTCAAATGTAAAAGTGTCAACAGTTTCCACCACTGATCTGTTCAAAACATGTCAGGAGTGTCTTAAAGAAGTGTACAGCTTTTCTGCTTCTCCAGAGATTACTGTTTGTTTATTTCAAAGGCTGCGAGAGTTGACAAATTAATTTCTTACTGCATCAGAAATGGAACAGAGCAATCAAACGCAGCGAAACTAATGGTTGGGATACCAAATGATGCGCGCACACTCGCATAGCGAGCTAGTGCAAACAAAAATAATCGGACGAATCAGTTAAAGCTGTGCATATACATCCACGGTGGCATAAATGATAACTTGTAATTAGTTCACATTATTTTAAGGATAAATTTTAAGGATTAAGCAGACAACAGACAGTTTGTCTATCTTTGGGCAAACCAATGCATGATCTTACAAAAACACCCCAAGCCTTACCATAAGTATTAATTTTTCTTCATTCGACGAGTCACTCTACATATATCGTATATTACTAACCTGAATTGGATATTCATCTTGAAAATGTTGCCGCATAATTGCAATTTAAGGCATAGTTAACGCTAAAATGTTAATGGTAATCATTCCTTTGTGCACCGCAGCCAATGAATCAACTATGCTCGTGGAGACATCTCCATGACATGCCTGAGCATGGAAATGCCTGACTTGACGTTAACGAATTTTGACTCCAACCTGGTGAGGCAAACGATCTGTTGACGATGAATTCGAAACCTACTGTTGGAGGGAGAAAACCGTGGGTTCATCTTCTACATTGATGGTATCATTATATCCAAGGAATTACTACAACACGCTTGGAAGAACGCAGTTCAGAAAACCCTTTTGAATCCGTGAATGTGGATGAATGAAAGCGAGTTTTCATCTCAAGATATGAGTAATTATTTCAACAAACAATAACTTCCAACCACAAAAACAGATGTTTTTTTTAATTGAACGCAACAGTGTGGACTATATGAAGCCTTGACCGGCAATTTGAGCTCTATTTTCCAGTCTTATCACCCAGGCAACATAAAATAAAAGAATCATCACCGTCCACTGGTGGCGAGCCCAGCCTTCTCTTGTCGGGCAAACAAAATGAATCGCGGCAAGGCCTTGAAAGCCTCTATGGTGAGGCTGGTCTTCCTCTTCCACGGGCTGGTCAGCGTGTTCGCTGCGGTCTACACCACCCAGGTCTCCATGTATTGGTTTATCGCTGTCGCTGCCGTGCTGTCCATGTTTGAGATGATACTTACCTACAAACTGAACGAAAAGGGCGAGTGGAAATGGTACAGATTTAAAGCTTTTTTAACCTTCTAATTTTGGATCCTTTTTGTTTGTTTTATCCTATAGTTCGTGTTGGTACATTACAGTGTTCTGATGAGCCAACCCTTATCAAATTCAAAAATCGAGATTGGCAACAAAAGGGGGCTGAAATCCCTTTTTTAATGAGCATTACTGCTAGTTTCCCTGTCCTATCCCTTCCCTTTGACTATAACCATGAAGAATACACCCCTGTCTGCAATGATGTGGGCTAAGTGAATTCTTATTTGCAAGTCGGTCATACTGAATTGAAAGCGAGATGAACTTCTTTGTTTTGGAAACCTACGAATAAAATGAAAGCAATGAAATGAAAATTCATTATAGAGTTGAATAATTTGAAATCTGTGATTTATTATATCTGAATGTTTTAAGCAAAATGTTAAAAAAATGGAAAAGAGGCATGGAACCCAAAATAGTCTGGCACCAACCCACTTGACTGATTACAGTGAATAAGATAAAACCTAATAAAAATGGTTTCTTGTGAGCAAGGTCTGAGCCCGGGCCTCATTGGTGAAAGGCGAGGAAAGAACCGCTACGCTAACTAATATGTCAACTTATGTCGACCTATGTCGCACCATAAGAACAACCATAGTCACTGGATAGCCCATTACTAACAACAGAAAGGCTTGTCCACATAACTATTCATAAGGGTCTGTTGGCTGTTGGTCGAAATTCTCACTAGCGTCAGCATAAAGACGATGGGACCAAGAACATGGCAGCCTACGTCCCTGGGTGCAGGCACATAGTCATGCGCAAGGAACGGCATTCGTTTATGAGCGAAAAGCACAAACATGAGGCCGCAGGGGCGGATCCTGAACAAAATGGGGGGGGGGCTGGTTTTCTTTTTCGTGTTTTTCTTTTTCCGAGGGATAAGGCGACATTTTAGGGCGGGCACGCGTTTAGAAGGGACATGAAACAGACCCCAAATCGTTTTTATTTTGTTATTCATATAAAAAATGCACCATTTTCGGGGGGGGGGGAGGACATGACCCTTGCTGACTCTCTCGTCCCCCCTCTCACAAAGGGCAGGGGGTTCCAGCCCAAAAGAAAATACTGGCCCATAGAGCGATCAACACTTTGTCGAATGCCCCAACTGATCACTGAAGTCTGATTTCAAGCGTGTTAAGAATGCCCTTCCCAGGAAATGCCACATCAGCATAAAATGAACATGTGCTTTTTACCCGGAAGGTTTGTGCCGTCGGTCTTCATCTATCTAACGATGGTCATTCCAGTGGTGTGGATCTTGGAGATTGCCATGCTTAACTTCAGACTGAACTTACAGGACCAGCTGGGTACGGAGCGCTGTGTCACCAGGCTTGAAGATTACGGCTGCTTCGACGAAACCAACTTCACACAGAAAGCAGCCGTCGTGTTGAATCAAGAAGATGTGGTAAGAATTAATGTATGTATGATGATTTCAAATGCGTGCATGCACATTGACACAGTTCCAATTATCGACTGCTCTGTTGTGAGACCTGACAACCTTGGCTCGGGTGACACCTTGGCTCTGGTGTGGTGCTTAAATTTAACACAAGGCGGAAAAAGAACAAAATGATTTTCTTCTTTTTTATTTCGTTGTTGTGAGGGGAGGGGTTCTGGGCAGAGGCTAAAACTGTATATCGCTTTATTAATCCTTCTTGGACTTAACTAGGAATGAGGCTAAACTTGGTACGAAGGAGGGAATAAGGGAGGGAAAGAAATCCCCCCTCCAAAAAATAGCCTTTTTCTCTCTATCTTTTCATTTTTTTCATTCAACGAGCTAAATACCTATCTACAGTGTAGGAGGTACAGTGTCCAGTGAATACAATGAATTAATTTCTACAGACATGAAAACATCATTGCTCAGGCAGTAAGTTTAGTCATTTTAATTCAGTCTAAATTTTAATAAACATCCTAACAGAGCGTTTGGGTGCCGGGAAATATATGTAATCAGAAGGACGGCGTAAATACATTCAAAATAATAAAATGAAAAAGTGTCGTATTAAATGGGTAAAATTTTGACGACATAAATCATTTACACAAATTTTGATGTGGTGTGAACATTATGATATAATAACCACAAAATATTCCGAATGGGCGTGCCTACCGTAATACAGTCAGCACAAATGAGGTTATGAGCCACGAATAACAAACCGCGATTTATAATATTAAATGACGCTACTAAATTTGCATGGAGTTCGTTCAACCACATTAAAATTTCTCTGACTTGAAGGGAAGCTTTTGTTGTGGTTTGAAACCATATGAAGAAAACAAACAAACTCGTCAATAAAAAGGGGATGGTCAGCCGTGCCACCTAACCCTCCCCTAATCTCATGTGGAAAAAAAATTACGTTTATAAGCTCCTGTAAGGTGGTAGTGAACAGGGGCGTAGCGACTGGGGGTGCGGCACCATCCCCTGTAATTAATTCCAGTCGGCAAACAGAGCGTCTGTCAGGAAATGAATCCAAACTTGGTAGCTAAACGATATACGTTGGCCATCGGCGTTTCCCCTAAAGTTTGAAATCTAGCGTACTACTAAAGTCTTATTCCCATGTTATTTTACACGAGGTTAGCGAATAAATTACAAGTCGGCAAATTAACTCTGGCACACCCCCAAAGATAATTCCTTCACTGCGCCCCTGGAACTTGTAAAAATTGAAGGCTATAGTGGAAGCTATAAGATGACTTTTCAGGCTTGCAATATCCCCGGTTTCCTTTGCATGAAACAACTGAGGAAGGACTTCGATTGAGTACTTGTACATCGAACTTTCTTCCTTAACAATGTTGGTACTCATTCATGTTTTTTGGTGTAAAGATGCAATTAAAGTGACTTGCCTGGAGACGTAGCTGGATTGGAACCCTAACCCCAGACAGCAATCTCAACTGCGTTTAGGTTACGTAATTTTTTTGATGGCCACCGTCTCTTTTTCTACACAGGACGTTTACAACTTACGCTCAAATTTCTCGACGACCATACAGCAAACTCTGATGCTCATCCTAATCTTGGGCAGATGGCTACTACCCAAGGGTCAGTTAACCCGTGACCAGCTCTCTCAACTCCTACTGGTCTACATCGGCATGGCCGCAGACATGCTAGAGTTCTCCTCAGAGACGCTCCGCCTGGAGAAGATCGCCTGTAGCCTGAGCATCTTCTACGCCATCCTGGTAGTGTGGACGTGGAGCCTGATGCAGTTTACCCTGGGCCTGACAGCCACCAAGGCCCGCAAGCGACGGGTGGCCGCAAAAGTCTACAAGTCAGAGGAGGAAGAGTTAAACAAGCGGCGTTACAAGCACTCCAAGAAAGTGTCCGTGTTTCTGTGCGGTACAGAACTCTGGGCCTTGGTCACTTCCTTAGCCATCCAAGACGGCCCGTACCTCGTAGTACGCCTGTATCTCATCTTCGGTCTCGGTATCTTCGACCAGTCCACGGTCTTCTTCACCTGTAAGAACGCGTTGCTGCTCTTCTTGCAGTTTTACCGTTTATCTGTGGTCTTGTCGGAAACCAACAAGACGCACGAGAAGAGCCTGCGTATCCGCCGGAGGCTTTCTCATTCTGCTGGTGGGGAAGATAAGGACGCTGCACCACATGTTGACGAGTTGAACTCTGTTGGCGACGTGGCAATGGCGGTCATATCCGGTAGCATTGTGCCAAATGGCCACATCCAAAGATCACAACTGACCAATCACAGCAGCGGTGATGACACCGTACCACATCCACCCAACGGCATCGTAACAACCCAGGCTGAGTTGAACGACCTGAGAGTAGGAAACAGGTCGCCCGATGGATCGATGAGGAATCGTAAGATGAACGGGGGACCGAAAGTGGATGCAAACGACACCGATGGACATTCACATCACACAGTGACCTTTGCCCTCGATGATGACTGATTTAAATTCCCTTGGGCCAATCTTTGACAATGATCATAAGATATACTTAAGTTAAGCATCTTGTGAAAAGGTTCAGTTTACCATTCATAGCTAACTGAACATCTTGTACAAGATACAATATGCTTGCTATCTGCAAAAAATACCTATCGTAGGACAAGCTTGTGAGTTCACTGATTGAATCTTTTGATGTGATAGCGACTGATATGGAATATATTTAAAGAAACATTAAGCAACCGCCGTTGTGGACTACAGAGTCAGACAGTGACAGTGACGAATATGAATCTCGCAAATGATGAATTTACTTGTATCAAAATGATATGCTCTTGAGTTGCCTTCAGACAAAGCCTGCAGGCAGAGCTAATTTTATTTTCTTAAACTACTTCAAGTTCTTCTTTGCCTCAAATTAAAGTTGATCTTGGCGATGAGTTAAACAAAACTTTTATAAGACTAATCCGATTAGACGCCATAACCAAAGATCGTACAGCGCCGAGTAGCGGCGCAAGATGGAAAACTTCACCATGAATACGTGTAAAACATTGTCACTTGGGCGCCATTCTGGTTGGACTACGCCTGCGCAGTGCCTGTTAATGCGCAGGCGCTGCGACAGGCACGCACACACATTAACGTTCACACTCGAATAGCGCCCATGGTGATAACACCTTTATGGCCGAATTACCCATCTTGCGCCGCTACG